GGATAAGGAATTGTGTTTTCATCAACAATAGGTCAACGTTGTGAAATTGTCGGGGCTTATCTGGAAAAGATTCAACACAATGGCCTGGAAGCGAAGTGTGAAAGCATTACCAGCAAGCTCAGCTGCGCTGGTCATTGCTATCTTCCTGGGTGGGGACCCCGAGACGGAACGCATCAATGGTTGGAGACATAGTCAGACATGGCCCAGTCGTGACCTCAATGGCGCTCGTGCATCCAAGCTATTGCCTTCGATGCATAGCCCCCTTCCCAATTCACCCACTTAAAAGTCCACTGACAAACCTATACTTACTCATCAGTTTATCAGTTCCCGCCTCCAATGCGCAGCTACCCACCCCACCTCCCCAAATCATCATCGTGACAGCTACATCCACTGTACGACCTTCACGCGGTTCTTACATCTGGCAATGATGATGGTGACAGAGTTGTTTCAGATAGTACATTGTGGAATCAGAACTTGTCCGCAAGGTCGACAACCCGGTCAAAAAATGGTCCATAGAGCACAAGGCTCTACAAAGTACTTTAAGCTCCATCACATGGAGGGGGAAATCCATAGTAAACCGGCCACTTTTTGTCCAACACGCTTTTACCATGCCCTTCGAAACAGGACTGTCGATCAGGTAGCTGTTAGTCTGCTCATGGAGCTTGGCAAATGGCCTATCTTAGCAAGCCAATCGCCAAGCCTGGTGAGCAGATCAACTGTCACGTGATCAACAGCCAATAAACACAACCCAGCTACAAATATTTAGGCATATTGTCAAGATGCATTGTTGATCCCTGTTCGTACGATAATGTTGTAACTAACTTCTGTTCCCGCTCCAGTGCCTTAGTGTCGGAAAAAGTCGAACGAACTAAACAGATTTATTACGAACAAGCGAGTACGAAAATCACAAGGGGTATCTAGGTATCCAAAAATACACTTTTGACCTTGAATCCAGACTAGCAGATCTGCATTGGGTGAACAGTGATCATCGTCGGCCGTGGCTGAACTGATTGACTGCTTGAGTGTGCAACCAGCAGCTAGCCTTTCTGGCCTGGATGCCTGATGGTTTCCCTACTGCGATTTTGGTGGAGTTTGAGGGTCACCGTAGGTGCCGGCATTCCCGTTGGTCTTCCTATCTTTTCAATACAGAACCAATAAATAGAGATGAATATCCTTGCTAAGCACTCTTTCTTGCAAGTGATGCCTTTTATCAGTCGTACACACAGCCAACTTGATAAGAAACGTCGACTTGATTTCACCTAAAACAAACCAAGGCTAGAAGTCCCTCTCAGCGAACGATATTGATCAATTCACAGTTTATATGACTAAGCCAGCCATCAGCTCCAGGATACATTCTCGGTCGACACATCCGTTCATCTCAACTTGGCTACTGCAATGTTCATCGACGCTAACCTAACTTGCACGCCCTCGTTACTGTAAAGTGGTCGCATAGCTTTCGACTGATCACTTCCAGCATGTGACCTTACTAGAAGGTCACAATGTATCGATTCAATTGACCGGAGGTAGTATCAACAGAGACAGTCAGATTATGACTAATTGCTATCACAGAAGGATGACTTTTGAAGTAGTCTATCAGTATGCGTGACGGTATTTCTAAACACATGGCCTCGATTCACAAGTGAGGTAGAAAACAATGATTTTGGCAAGTGTAAAATTGGGGGAAGCTGCCACAGGATGAGCAAAATCTCTGATCTTTGACATTGGAGGCATTTCACCACGCGTTGGCTAATTCTGAAACTTATAAACATTATTTTATTTGTCTACTGGAAGTGAAAAATCAAACAAGCATTCCCGTGCACTAGTTACTAATGAAAGGTTGGCAAAACCTCTGGATGTTAGATACGAATATGAAGACAAAGTGTTGGATAATTCTTGAGCAAAGCTACGGGGTATGAAGCTAGGACACGATGTAGTTATGCTGGCATTCAGCGTCATTGCCGTCTTCCTTATCGATCGATGACACTTGCCAAAAGGCACAACGAAATTAGAAGACTACAAGCACTTGCAAATCGCTTTGCTGTTAACGAGNCCTGCCATCAACCAACAAAATGGTTCAGATCCGATACAGAGTCACCAAGTCTGTCATAATGAAGCGAAACGCGCCTGAACTCAAAGGCGACCCTTTCGAGGACTTCCACTTTACAACTAAACTAGAGAACTATAACTGATTATCGTTCTTGGTTATACCGATTCTTGGAATACGACGCAATACCTTAGATTTGTGTACATAGTAAGAAGACACGTGCAAGTCAGATAGTGAAACATCGTTGCATCCATGCGACCAATCAAAGAAACAGTTCCATTCGACGCCTTATCAGAAGAGTCGGTTAGTACGGCTGTACAACAGAACTGAGGAGAAAAGAAGAAATCTATCTATATATGGGTGTCCGAAAGCGGTCTACTCGAAGTGGACGAGTGTTAATTCGATTGGAGGAATGTATGGTAAACTATATAGGGCTCCGTGGAAGGCGCGTCATAATTGGCTAGAACAGGGACCAATCAGGATTAGGCGTTCCTGGTTCGGAGCTTCTGTCCTCGTCACGGACTTTTGGGCATGAGCTTACACAGAATTCTAGGATTGCTCGATAAAAAGAGGTGTGGCAATTTTGCTTTGTTCCATTGCAGGCTGTATGAGTTGAGTGGCCAAAGCAATTGAGCACCGCAAATCGTCGGATCAGCAAGCTTGTTGAAGAGGACAGTGGCAAGAACAGCTAGGCAAAATTTGCAAGAAACTGTCTACCATGAAAGTAAGAAGACCATGAAAGGACACTTTTTTGGTTTACACACACAAAGATCCAGAGGGTCACAGTCTCAATTAAACAAACGGAATTTATTAACTAAATAACTAATTAAGTAAACAAGCAAGTAAGTGAGTGAGAGAGTGAGTGAGTAAGTAAGTAAAGTAAGGTAAAGTAAAGTAAGTAAGTAAGTAGCGGCAGCTGTCGAAACTGTTCGATGAGGTGACGTGTTCTCCGTTGAAGCCGCATCAAAGAGTGGAGGAACTACCCGATACCGAAGCTGACATACTTGCTTGTGCTCGGCCAAGTCCACCGAAACACGCTCAAAAGGTTGAACAATTACATCAGGCAGTCTGTTCGTGGCTGGCTACGTCTACCGGAGGACACCCCGCTCAGCTCCATTCACGCCGGTAAACAACATGGGGGACTTGGTATCCCAATTCCGAGTGCAATGATCCCGATGCAGCGAAGAGCGCGTATGGCAAAGCCTCTGTCTATCCAGCGCCGAGTACTACTCAAGGTGGTCAACGATTCCTCAGTTGGCAAGCCCTTCGATCCAAGTCCAAGGTACATACGTAAGCACCAAGGATGAGCTTAGGGTGATTGTCTGCACAACGGCGTTGACGGTCGGGGTGTACGAGAGTTGGTCGCTTCACCTCTCTCGAATCGATGGCTCGTATTTCCAGAACGAGTGATTCCTCGGATATTTATCCACGGTATCCAGCCCCAATGCAACCTGCTCAGGACGAGAGTTAAAAGCGCTCGGCATGGTCATGGTGGCCAAACGATCTAATGTCGTGAAAACTGTGACCAACCGGAGAGTTTGTTGCATATTTTGCAATCCTGCTGGATCACACATGATGCCATATGTGCTCATCATAATCGGGTTGCAAGGGAACTCTCAAGACGTCTCCGTCGACCGGGGTACACCGTCTTCGAGGAGTTGAGAGCCCCTACTTCTACGTCGTTCATCAAACCTGACCTAATCGCTGTTCGAGATCGCCATGCAACTGTAATAGACGTCAGCATAGTCTCGGATGGGCGTTGGGTGACAGTGTGGAATGAGAAGAGGCGGAAGTATGGTACTGATGAATATTCCCTCGCCATAATCTCGACCCTACATGCAATCGGTTGTGATGTCGACTTTTTGGTCCACCAACCGATGGTCATCTCTTATCGAGGAATCTGCTTTCCTTAATCCACCAAGGCTGTTATTGGACTGGGACTTCCTACGGTCGCAGTCAGTGACTTGTGTTTGCTTGCCATGGTGGGCTCTCTGAGTACTTATGACACTTTTATGCGTTGCACATGGCGTTGAATGTACATTTTTGCCATTTAATCTCACACCAAACCCAGTATGACGGACGCTTTGTGTCGGGACATTTTACATACGTTGGGATTCGTATCATCTGACTGTTGGTGGCATGGCTTCGAATGAAACGTTCCTCTTTTTCGAAAAAGTTTGGTGACAATCGGTAGATTTATTGCTGGGCAACGTTTCGCTTTTGACACAAAAGCTTCGTCAGGCCAAGTGACTAGGTTCCGAGGTTGGTCGAGATTTAAGGCGGAAGGAGAACCAATCAGCTAAGTCAAGCTACATCTCAGTTGGGTGTCGGCCGAGGGATTTTAGTTTGTTAGGGTGGTTGAACAAGTGTTGGGTCGGTGGGGAAACCTACATGTGTCTGAGTTCAGCCTAGGGTTAGGTTCATTTGATGGTTCCTCTTGAACTTCGTTTGAACCTTCTGTCAGTCTGTGAGGGTAAGCTAGTTCTAAGAAAGTTGTCATTTCGCTCTTTTATCTTATATTCTCCTGCAACCCTTCCACATGCATCGCCTGCATTTACCTTTTATGTTTCTGACCATGCTCTTTGAAAGTAAACGATAATAAAATAATTAAAAAAGTCTACCTTCGCATAGTATGGAAAACCGAAGTTTTCTCTGCTTCGATTTGCTGCTGGAGGTCACTGTTCAACGCAGGTGCCTTGGTCGTGCGAAAGCGCTTCATTCAAATCAAAAGCGCACACAACAGAAAGTCTCTATTTAAAGACTAGCTATGCTGAGTTAACAATGATGATGGTGAGGGCGGTGATGACAACTCAAGTTCCACCGTGTGTTTCAATGAAACTAAGCATCCGCAAAAGCTCACGATAGTCTTCCAGCCGCAGTCGATAGTCTTCCGTAGATCCCTTCACATAGTCCACCTGGAACGGAGTATATCTGTTCAGGTGGATTTGGTTCCAGTCCTCCACGCGGAACTCCGTCATTTTACGCCCCAAGAAGAAGCGTTTGATCAAATACTCAATCACCTTGCGTGCTTCACGAGCCAGTAGCAGTGCTTGACCGATGAGCAGGGCAGAAAGCATTATGTAGAGGAAAACTTGATAAATCAGAGCACTAAATTCCCAAGCTGGTTTGTTTTCGTCCGCTAGCAACGTGTCGACGATCTGCATGCAGTGTGAGGGGAGAGAATAACATGTTACATTTCGAAAACTACTTACCGGCGGCGAGTAATCAAATATACTAGAAAGCCATGAAAAAAGCATCTTCGATTTCATCGAAAAACCCATGAGTGATAGCGGAACAGTTACGATACAAAAACATGTAGGAAGAACCGCAGGCCAAGCTGGGGTTCAGGATAGCTGACCAGAACAAGGGATTGGGCACGTCCGAAATGACTAACGAGACAGGCTGAAATCGGGATTAGAGTTGGCGTCAAGGACGACTGTTTCTTAAGCTTATGAAGAGTCTGATGTGAGCTTGTCTTAAATTTGACTGCGTGGAACGTTGATCTGACCCAGGAAGACAAGTAGTTTTGATTGGCCCCCCATACAGCCAGCTAGCTTGTGATTGGCTCCAGAATAACCTCACAGAACAGTGCTGTCAAACCGGATTGGACAACCGGGCTCCCTAAAAAGTTTATGGCAATAAACACTAGAACAGGAACTAAATTATAGGGATACTCTTGGGACCAACTTATCCTCCTCTATCTGAAGGTGACTGTAAATTGAGGTAAGCAGGTAACTATGACCCGAAAGAATGGCGTACCGGTGAGTGATTAGACTGTTGTCCCGCTGACCCACCGTAAAGCGGCTTCTTGTCCCAACAGCCCTATCATTTCACTGGTTCGACTACGAATCTGGTCGCCTTATTTTTCCACTGTACCACCTAATGCTTAAGTTTTTATAACCTTGGACTAACACTTGCTTTCAGCGTGCTGTGGTATCGCCTCAAATAGTTCTCATAATTTGTGTCCCATAGGAACAGCTTCCCAGGTATCTTGCTCTGAATTCAGCTGCCGCTTTCACAAGTTAGTAAGCACTACAGCTGGCTGGCGAAGGTCCGAACCTGACAGAATCCACATCGTCAGTTTTGTTGTTCGGTTTAGTTTAGCAGTCCAAAAATACATTTCAAGAGCCAGAAAATGGCTATAAGCTAATGAATATGGAAAAACTTTGACAACCTGGACCCAACAACAGAATCTTCTTCGCTCCACATTCTAATTTCTCGGGATAAATTAGTGCCCATTTGCAAGAACTTCAGTTTGCTAGTAAAGTGGAAGCCTCGTTTGTGTCTTTAAGCCCATGTTGACCAGCTGAATTCTCAGGAAGCTGCACAGTAAGCGCTTTAAGCTTTTTGTACCGACGCATGACGAATGCAGTCAGCCTTTTGATGAGGGGCTTGATTACTGTTCCGAACAGGCAACCTCCAAGGGTCGACCAGAAGTGGTGAAAGGAGAACAAACTTCCATAGATTATGTACAAGTGGCACATTCTAGGGGGATAGTCTCTTCTGGAACCCATCTGCGGAGAAAACACAACTTCATTTCAAAAACATTTCAAAAACTCTGTTATTTCTTAGTCCTGATGTTCTTCACAAACCTTCCATAACCACGAAGAATTACCCAAAGTGTAAACGGGAAACTTCCCTTACTTATTCTCTACTTACCAACTGATACACTCAAATGTTCAGATGCATACGCATTCACACATTCTCAGGCACGAAAATTCGTGTTTTCCTGACTGTTTCCTCATTCACCGTAGCTAGGCCAGTTATCAGTTAGTGTTACTCGGTGACAAGACAATATATTTAGTATTGGAGATCACGCTGATCTGGCGACCCGCTGACCTTCCACAAGACTAGAGAAGTAACTACCTCCAAGCCCGGATAGCTCAGTCGGTAGAGCATCAGACTTTTAATCTGAGGGTCCAGGGTTCGAGCCCCTGTTCGGGCGTGGTTTTCCTCCCGTCTGCACTGGAGGCCTGGACCACAGACGCGCATAAGCGATCCTCTACTTTCGATCAGTGGCATCTCTGTGTGCGAAGTCACAGGTCCGTATGCACCATTTTCATGTCATTTAGCTGGGCAGCATACATCGGCTGAAGCCTCTATGCACAAGCAAAACCTGGCGTTAGTCGGCAGCATAAATAGTGCAACAGGGAAGTTAAGAATCGGTCGTGCTAAGCAAGGGCCTGTGATCTATCACTATTACCACAACATTTTGGCTCGTCATTTTTTTTACCTGTGAGGAGTTCATGAAAGGCTCCGTAGGATTTTAATAATGAATAGAACGTTACTTTGGTTTATATGCTCTGCCACAGCGTTCTTAAATGTTTGTTCCACCAAGTTTTAGCTACTCATGAGTAGCTTCACGCGGCAACCAATGTAGTGCGACCTTGGGTGCGCAAGCCGAAGGTTTCCCGACGAGCACTCATATTTCCAATTCTGGTTGGTACGGCGTGTAGAAGGGGTTCGTTTTGAACAAGGAATAGGAGTAAAACTGTGCTAAAAGGGGATGATATAATACAAGCATCTCCCCGACGGTATACTGCAGCAGTCAGTCCGGGGGAACCTACTCCTGAAAACTGAGACGATCTCGCGTGTGGACTTCTTTTCTGCAACAAGGTAGGCAACTCATGGACTGAGTATCCCTACTGCGGTAGGTGGTTTCTCCTTAACCGCTCCAAGCTGGGTTTCAAGACCATGAGCTGGTTGTCGGACTCAACAGTTTGGTGTGACGAGACGGGTTATATGCAAGAGGTCTCTGGTTTATTGATATGGAGCTCGATCTAGGTCGAATAGAAGAAACATATTTGGATATTGTGCAAATATACAATTTAACGCAGCTAACAACAAGCTAAGCTCAACGAGGTAGGGGATTGTGACCACGGGGGTCTGTACGCGCACGATCATTCTCCGAGACGCGAAGGCATTTGACCTAAGGCTGACTGAGTTGGTTGCGATTTCGTAACTCACACGCAGGAGATTTACTAAGGGAAACGAAAATAATCTACGGTTTTGCCAGTCTTACCCTCCCACCAGCTTATGAGCTGCTTCTCTGTAGCTGTCCTTCACCACGAAGATGATATCTGTTCCATTCAAGATAAAATATCCATCATCCAGGACAGGTCAGCACCTTGAAATTCGACAGGATCGACTACCGGGGTAAATAACTTAACGCGGAAATCAACTGCATGGTTTCGTCTGAAAACCAGCTTCATCTCTCAGATAACCTCAGTCAAAATTCTTTTAGAGAGCTCCACCAGCAGTGCCACCACAGTAAATGTTGCACTGTCTTAGAATTCCCAACACCAAGGGGATACAGTACCTCTAACTGTTCCAAGTTCAGGCTATCAGCAAAGGAAACCACATCCCCTTGGTCACGGCAAACCACCGACACGTTAATCGGGATATGCTGGAACTTTCCTGAGATTGCCGCATCCTCAACATGTCGACGAGGATTGGCCCTTGTCAAGACTCCACGAAAATGTGAATCAACGTGCCATTGATCCTCTTCAGTAGACTCTCTCAGTACACATACAAACACAAAGGAATCACGTTAACTCAGCATTACATCTTAGCACAGCTGAGATCAATCAGTGGTCTTTCTATCATTTGGCAAGCTCCACGACACAGCTAATCAATGTATCCACCCTAATTTCCATAGGAACCAACGTGAGGAGCATAAAATGGTTTGTACAGTGGACTTTTTCAGAAAATCAGTAACCATACATGGCACCCCTGAATTAAATGGCCAACAACCTAATCAGATACCAGCACATCTCCTAGGTTCCCACTTTCAGGGAATCCCTAATGTCTACTCAAGGTTGAAAATCTTGATACAAGACTGTGTGGGCTCGAACCCTAGCCTCATACTTGCGGATGAACCGATTAAGGTAGTGGCCGCATTTGTTTACCTGAGCAGCTGTATAATCCCGGTGGCCGCTGCGTGCAAAGGACTTCAAAAGATTTTCAGTGTTTGACCATCGATGTTATCGGAGCATTGTTCAAAATTTGGTGGGAACACCGGATCAGCAATTCTGAAGTACGTCGAATGGTATTCGGGAGAAATAACTCACCATCGATAGATGAACTGATCACACTGCAAAGGTTGCGCTGGCTCGGCCACGTGCTGCGTATGCCAGTCGACCGACTTCCTCGAATGGCTCCCTACGCACAATCACATGAAGGGTTGAAACGAGCCAGAAACGGCCAAACAATGAAGTATGAAAGCCATTACCAGCAAAGTCAGCTGCGCTGGTCATTGCCGTCTTCCTGGATGGGGACCCCGAGACGGAACACATCAATGGTTAGAGGAATTGTCAAACACAGCCCAGTTGCGACGCAATGGCGCTCGTGAATCCAAGCTGTTGACTTCAGTGCGTAGCTCCTTTTCCAACCCGCCCGCCCCACTTGACAGCCCAATTACAGTGCTGGATTTATGCACCAATTTATCAGCTCCCGCCTCCAATACGCAGCTACCTACCCCACCTACTCGAATCATCGGTGAACGAAACTGTGGCAGCTACAACCACCACTGTACGACAAGTACGTGGTCCTTACAGCTGACAATGATAATGATACAAGTACCTCAAAGCTCTCGAACGACGAGTCCAACGTACAAAGAGACCAGCTCATGATTCAAAATCTTGGGCCCATGGAAGATATCTAGTTACCGAGATTCCCGTCTTAGACGCTCAAGCACTTATGGAAACAGATGAGCTTCGAATCCCAAGATTTGATCAGCTCTCGACCAGCTGCTGCCACTACCATGTTCTTCCGAAAAAGCTTCCTAAGACGCCAGTGGGCCTCGTAGACACTGCTGAGACTCCGCTTTGCCCAGACACCACGGACTCCAAGCCAGCAATCCCAAGCTTCCCCACGATGCACGACCGATCTACAAATTGGAGCTGTGTAGTCCTTTATTGTCATTGAAATAGCACGAAAGGTGATTGAAGTAGAACAACTTGTGTGAGGGAATGGGGCGCCGATTCCGTGACTTACCGGATCCCACGTGGACTGGTTATAAGGACCACCGTACAGCGTGAGTAGGACATTTGTGTCTGAAAGAGGATCCGGTTGTCCTGTTGCAATCGCCGATTCCACTGCGGAATAAAAGGAAGAATGTACAAAGTTCGCCGTTTTTTTTCGGAAAAGTATGCATTCTGGTGCATTTTGGTACGTAGTACCATAAACATACTTTTTTGTGAAGCACAATACACTGAGAAGATGAGTTCTATGCTTGGACTCCGGTCCACAAACTGGGACAAATAAGACCGCGGTATTTGCATCATCATTGTCAGCTGTAGTAACCGCGTACTTGTCATACAGTGGTTGTTAGCTGCCACGTTTCATCAATCGATGATTTCGGGAGGTGGGGTAGATAGGTGCGTCTTGGGGGCGGTAGTTGATAAATTGGTGCGTAAATACAGTACTGTCAGTGGACCATCAAGAGGGGGGATGGGAAGGGAGCTATGGATTGAAGGCGATAGCTTGCATGCATGAGCGCCATTGAGGGCGGTGTTGTACACTTGACAGTCAAGCTGATTTCACCTCAGTTCCACAAATATCGGAAGTTGGCAAACGCTAACTTGGCCCTCGGAATCACCATTCTGCCGGGCTTTATGCAGCCGCCCAGATAGATGAACTTACCTAACACCTGCGTTGGTTCCCCTGCAAGGTTCTTCGACCCCATCCAACCCTGCAGTAACTCTTTCCACTTTACAGGTGCGGAGTGAATGTCAAAGTACGCATCCCAATGCCGTCAATGTACTCAGTATCCGTCAGTGAGTGCTCCGGTTGTCAGAGAACACTACAATGACCAGATACAATCAGCCTTTTCAAAGAGGAAAATGTTTGGGTCTAAAAGTACGAAAATCCAAGTAGAAAAAACAAGGCGAAAAAATCAGGGTTCATCATAAAGACGAACCCCCCCCCTAACCAGTCTATCGTAAATATTAGTCATCCCCACTAATCAACAAACAGGAACATCAGACTGAACACCCAGCACTGATTAAGT